AAATGTCAAGACATTAAAAAATTTCATGCTTGCTTAGATATAGATGAAGGAAGGGCATATTCCTACTAAGTTGAAGGCTATGTTTGGTAGTAGTAGTAGTAATGTAGCTATAAGTGTTTCATATGTTTTGTTGCTAAATTAAATTATATTAATACTTGAATAAAGTTTAATATTTTATATATATTTTATTAATACGGCTAACATTAAATAATTTGTATTTTACAGGATGAAGGGAGTGGACACGATGTGCCAACACCACAAGGAAGATCTTCATTGGATAGTAATCTTCATGGAGTTTGACATTATATTTTTTGTTAGACATAATGAACTCATAAGTTTGACCTTATGATTTTACATTTGAGGCAAGATTGATTTTGGAACAACTTACATATTTCGCATTTTAATATCAATCATGTATTTGGTTTTCTGAGTTACTTAATAGGTTAGATATGTTCTAGAGTTCATGAATGTTAATGTCTTAATAATGAATGTTTGTCATGTTATGCTTATGACTAGCTGACTTGTCTCAATTCTTTTTTTATAATGTAGAAAGTTGTTAATTCAATATATCTTTATGTAGTTATACTTGAACATGAAGCTTAGAAAACACATAAATAATATCAAAATTATATTTAGAAATTACTAAAATAAGAGATCCTTGAAATTAGATAAGTAAAATTGTTACTTAGGAATTACTTGAATTAATAACAATATAATATGGTCATTATTAATTTCAAATAATTAATATAATTAGTGACAATTTTAAATAATAATTTTAAAAAATAATTAAAGTATGTAGACTTTTATTTGGTCAATTTATAATAAAAATGCACTTTTAAAAATAGTTGCAAGTATATTTTTAAAATAATAAGAATATGATTTTAGACAATCCTAAACTACCAAATGAAGTACATCTAAGAACAGATTTTAAAAAAATTTAAAAGAGAACCAAATAGCAAAGTATTTTGTGGCGGTTTCAAACCACCAAAAATATTAAATTAAAAAAAAACTAAAATACATTTTGTGATAGTTTTAGACCGCTAGAAAATGATTTGTATTTTTTAGCCATAGAACCAACTGTAAAAAAATGCGTAAAATACCGTTTTTGATAGGTATAAATTTGAAAATTATTTATAATGCTAAAAATGTAATTTGCGGCGGTTTTTAACCGCTATAAACCGCAAATTTAACAGCCAAAATCATACATTTTTTTTTGCAGTGAAGGCTAACATATGCACTTTTAACAAACAGAGTTTACAAACATTTCAGTTTTTGGCTAACATATACAACACCAATTTTTCATGGTTAAATTATTTAACACAAATATGTAAGAAAAAAATAAGTTGTATTTACACAAGTAAAATGTCTTATGAAAATAACAAAAGTTGAAAGTCTTCATAAATTACGGGTAGAGTTTGTGTTCCTATGAACTAGAAGTGAAGCTTTAATTTTCCAAGAGAAATAAGCTTCGAAGTCTTTGCTTTTGAAATAAGCATAAAAACAAAATAAGTAAATACATACATAGAAAATTCGAGAGGGAAATGCAACAAACAATTAAAAGAAAATTCACTTTTCAACAATTGAAAGTAATCAGGTCAAAGAAAAAGTCTCAAATATATGTGACATTCATCATTTTCAAAGTCCCATGCAATTGTTTAGATAGAAAATAAAACAAAGAGCAACTAAAATAGTACACTATTTTCCTTGTTTGCTCCTAAATAAGTGATTGCTTCACCATTTAATCAATTGTAGCATCACAAGCTAGAAAGAAATATGGCTACTATTTTAAAGATCAATGACCATTAGACCAATTTATAAGCAAATAAAGAACTAAAGTAATGATGTTTGAGCAATTGACTAACTGTCTCATACTAGTGCTTTGAGAACCTTTCATTGGTTAAAGTCCTTTATAGATAACTCTTTCTTAGATATTCAACTACTTTTAAGATTAATAACTAACTCCACAAACCAACACAAGACTTTTTTGGGGCTTTGTCCTTACTCATACACTTTCTATGAAACTTCCCAAAAATCGTCCATTCTTAAATTGTTCCAAGTTAAGAACGTTTAACTATAAGGTTCTTTAGTAATGAAGTACAAAAAATAGACGCATCTTGTGAGTTTAGGTAGTAAATGTAACAGCCCAATTTTCAATGGGCCGTAGGCCCAATTCGTTGCCCAGAACGGGCCGTTTCAAAAGTGAAACGGGCCGTTCTGGAATAAGTTAAAGGCCCAAAATTTGAGAAGCAGAACGGGCCGTTCTGAAGGGAGAACGGGCCGTTCCGATTTGGAGAACGGGCCGTTCTGCTGGGTTTGAGAACGGGCCGTTCTGGTTTGGGAACGAGCCGTTCTAGTTGAAAAATTTACGTAGGTTTGAAGGGCCCTGAACGGGCCGTTTTGATTTTGGAACGGGCCGTAGTGGTAGGTGGGCGAAAAATCCTATAAATAGGCCTCAAATCCTCTCATTTCTACACACCTCTCATTCTCACTTTCTCTTCTCTTCTGTTCTCTCTTTCGTTCCTCTTCTTCTCTCTGAAGACCAAGGGGAACTTAGAGGATGAGGTTCTGCTCTAGTTCCGATCCTTATTTAAGGAAAAAGAGGAGGAAGTTCTGCCCGAGTTCCTATTTATCCAGGTACGGGGGAAAAGGAGATTATTTATATATAGAGTTACATGAGGGAATTGGGTAGAGGAAGAACCCTTAGGGTTATGAATAATTTTATAATTATTTCTGTTTGGAGGATTAATTATCTTATGTGATTCTATATATATTTAGGATTACGAAATTATAGAAAAGTGCCTGTAAGTTAGGTTGTGAAAAATTGGATGATTTCTGTTTGAGAAATTGAGGATTCCATTAGATTCTGTATGTGTTGAGGATTATAGATATGCTAATAATTTGTAAGAATGATGATCTGTAATTAAAATTTCTTCATAGAATAGAATTAAAATCTGTAATTAAAAGTAATATATATATATATATATACACGTGTATATTTTGTGTTTTTATTTTATTTATTTGATTTATATGATATATGTTCTCACTCCTTTTATGTTTCTTGTTGTTTATTTGGAATAAAACGAATTATAAATTTAAATAAATGGAAGCTCGAAACATACCAAAAACCATTTTTTTATAGTAATTCATGTTGTATTTTTGGAGACTAGCTAGAACATAAATATTATCAATAGTGTAGTGACTTTTAGTGAAAAAGGAATTTCTTCCTTAATACTTTTCTCTCAACAAGAAGAACTATACATTATAGAAGGACTAATAATAGTTACTTTCTTTCTTCCTCCCACCAACTATGCAAATCCATTTGCAATTATGTTTTCACCAGCCATATAAAGTTAAATAGTAGTATGTTATAAGAAAAGCATGTATATAAATAAAACTCTTTTCCTACTATCTAGATAATAGAATAGCTATAACGCAAGTATGTTGCAATAAGAATAATAAATAATGTATAATATAATTTTGAATATGACTTTGTATTATTTGTTTTAAATTTATTTTCTTTCATTTAATTTTCCTTTTAAGAAAATAATAACTATTCATTTGAATTAAATAAGATGGATTAAATAAATAATTAAGTTAGAATAATTCAGAGTGTTACAACACTTCTAGTGCGGAATGGGTCTTCATACTCAAACCTAAGCTATTAGATAAGCTCCATGGTTTGATCGGCAAGACAATGCTCTTGATGCATATCAAGGGGCATTATCTCCATCATATAATTTTTAAATTTTTTAAAAAATTTGTTAACTTAATTTATACATAAAAAACTTTTAGTTTAACAGTTGGATCATTAAATTTAATTTAAAATATGAGTTATTGAGTGAAATAAGTATAATATATAAGATTTACTCTTAGAGTAAGTAAATCTCTTTTCATGTAACTTAAATATGTCAAAAATTGAATAATTACAATATTTGAGAGACTAAAATCACATAATTATAGTACTTGATGAACTAAAATTATTTAACTAAAAATTAAGAGACCAAAATTGCACATCTACAACTCTTGAGCGACTAAAATCAACTACTATACTTTAAATACAAACATCTGATGCAAGTTAAAGAATAAGGACATTTTTTATGAGAGATTATTTAGAGGTTTTTTTTTTAACTTCTTATCTAACTCGATTTTATTTATTATAATTATTTATGAATTAAAATTTAATATTCTAAAATGAATTATCAATAAATAAAAATAATATTATACTACGATCTAAAATTATTTATCATAAATCTGAAATATAATTTATACATTAGTATAAAAAAATATAATTATTTATATATTTAAATATAATATTTATATATATAATTCATTATAAATTTTTGTTATATATAATAAATATTTAATATGTATTTTTCACATGCTAAAATACTAATTACTCAATTAAAACTTAAAAACTAAATCACGCCAGTATAATCCTTAAAAATAAAAAACAAAATTTAGAAAATAAAATCTTTTAAAACTAATTAAAATTCTAATCGATACACTCCCTAACCAATAGTAATACACTTCCTAAGATATTCTGTTGGTAACCTCCTAAGATATTCTGTTATTATCAACCATATATCTTTATCAACAATATCTCTTAACATGTTTCACTAATTACAGCACAAATAAAATAAGTAATGCGTCGCTATAAACAAGGATCAAATAATCCTGATTGATTTTAGTAAGAGAACAGATTTTGTTTCCCAATATTCCACATTCAAAACATAAAATACATGCACGAGACATATTGTTTTCGGTGTATTTTTAGGAGCCACATGCCCAAATCCTTGTTTTAAACCTCTGCTTCTGCTTATTACTTTCCCCTTATTTTTTCATTCCACTTTTTCTTCAGTTATTGTTCATGGAATCTGGAACTAAGAAGTCAAATTCAGTAAGAGAATTACAAGTCTCGGACTCTTCAAAGAAAGCTAAGGGTCTGGAAATTGAAGGATACACAATTGAAGGTTTGTCCATTGGAGGACATGAAACATGTGTAATTTTCCCAACACTTAAAGTAGCCTTTGATATTGGTCGCTGCCCACCTCGCGCTGTTTACCAGAACTTTCTTTTAATCTCCCATGCTCACATGGATCACATTGTTAGTCCCTTTCTTTCATTCAAATCCAAGCAAAATATTCAATAATGGAATTTTAATTCACATATACTATATTGTAACATGAAGAATGTTAGTAACATACTCTCTAACTATTGGGAAGAACCTAAGTCTCACATCGACTAGAGATTAGGCAATTGAATAGTATATAAGTTGAAAGTAACTCTCACCTTACAAGCCAGTTTTGTATGGTTCAGTTAAATTCAAATCCACTATTCTAAGATGGTATCAGAGTTATCCTAGATTCTTAAAAATGGATCACGCCATAGGCATGAAGGAGTGTATTGAGAGAAAAAAGTTAATTTTATAAGATTGAGTTAGACTCAAATACTATTCTAAGACTAACACACCCTCTTTACACATTCACCTTCGTTGGTTAAAATTTATTAAAAAATATAAAATCAGAATAAAGAATCATCAAATAGGGTAGAGACGGACCAAAATTTGTATATTCAATACATTATCAATGAAAAGATCCTGTGTCTAAAAGAGTGTGATAGAGAGTGTGTTACTATCATTTCTCATTGTAATATTGTTAAATTAGTCCACAATTCATTTTTTGTTCCCCCATAAATTAATTAATATTTATACCTATGGAGCTTTATCTGATGAATGTATGGCTGAATTTGTTTGTTGTTGAACTGCCATTTTAGGACTTACATTTACAGATTTACTTTTGATAGGGAGGGCTACCAATGTATGTTGCCACACGTGGTTTGTATCGTATGAAACCTCCAACAATTATTGTACCAATTATGCTGAGAGGTTACAGAACAAAGCAATCCTTTTGATTCACTTTTCGGCACGTCACACGTTAAAGGTATAACATTACTGCTTTTGCTCTCTAGAAAAGTTACATCACCCCTCTAAGTCTTGGTCTTGGTGAGTGTGATCCTAGTAGAAAGTTTATTAAGAAAAATCCAAGTTCTTCATGACTATAAGACAAACAAAGAATATATAAATAGGAAGCAACTTACATTATTTTATAAATTGATTTTGTAAGATTGAATTAGATATATAACCTATATTTTAAGATAGTTTCAATGTTATCGTACATTTACATTAAACTAATCATCTACCATTTGGTTATCACTTATCAACCATTTATAAACTTACATAGACTAGTAATAAAATCAACAAAAAAGTATATAAGCGGGAGACAATCTTTATTTTACAAATCCACAATCCACATTCTTAGAAAGATGGTTTAGAATCCCATGTGTAGTCATAGCCTCATATAGGAGGTTCCCTTGCGTTCCATTTTTTTTTTGGTTCATTTTTCTTGTGTTATTTTTCTCTTAAAAGTGCTTTCACGAAAGTTTATCTAAACATGTCCTTAGTCTGATGATGCTTTTTCGTTTAGACACTAATACACGGGGTGGTGCTTATGATATTTTCAGGAAATTCAACAAGCTGTAAATGCATTGCCCCCCAAAATGACTATGGAGTTGTTTTTGCTACGTCCAAGATCCAAACCCACCTCACACTATTGGACACATGTAGAATGTACCATCATCATTGATGACAAGTATATTTATATATACCGACATTCATCTACTCTTTGCATGCTTCTTCGGAAGCCATATATTTGAGAACTCTAACTACAATTTTATATAGTTAATCCACATTTTTCCATAAACATGATACGTGCAAGTTGCAACTATCATATTCCTCTTATAAAAGGTGTTGGGTGAGAGGAAATGATTGTTTTGCAAAAGTGTGTAAAGCAGGATATAATATGCTTAAAATTTAGGCTATTTCTTCCGTAAACCCCACTTTTAAGTGGTTGAGGTGGAGAAAAGATAGGAAAAATAGGAAAAATCAATAAAATTAAAGTAATGTATGAAAATTAGAAAATAAAATTAGAGGAATAGAAACTTTGTATTTATGTATAAATAGTACTATTTTATAATTATGAAAAGCATTCGAAAAAGAAAGAGAGAGAAAAGAAAGAGTTTAAAAAATAATATTTTATTTTCAGGTGTATTTTAGATTGTAAGTTGAGTATTTATAAATAATAATTATATATTTTTTTTAATAATTTACCTGCAACAGCTTAGAAATATAAGTATAATTAGTTGAATTTCATTATCAATTTTATGTATTATTATTTTATATTTATTCTTTTTTTCACAAATCTATTATAAGAAATTTTGTGTAATTTCTTGATATCAATTATTTTAAACTATATTATATATTTATTAAAAAGGTGAACAGCCTAGATTTATGGTTGGATTTTTGGCGTTAAATTTTTATTATTGAATTAAGTTTATTTTGTTAGTAAATGACTATTTTGTCCCAAACCATAATGGTTGCCCGTCCCTTCCATTTCTTCCATGGTGGTGTGAAGGCTGCACGTGGCTTAAATAATTTTCTTCATGGTCTCAATTTTTCGTTATAAAAAATAATTTTATTATTCGCCCTCATTCTTGGTATTAAAAAGTAAGAGAAATAAAATGATAACAAAGATAGCTTTTTTTTACAAGAAATTTATAGCACATTTGAAAACAAATCTAGAAACATGTGATTTTTCATATCATGATTGAAGCCATAGTTCTTGCTTGCACTTAAATGTGGTGAATTCAAGAAAAGTGGATACCTTATTCCATTCTTCACTAGAATTTTCGTTCTTATATCCTAAAAGCTTCTGCTCCATACTTCTCAATGAGCTCTTTCTGTAAACCACTCAAATTAGTAGTAATATTGGAAAACAAAACACAATAATGATTAAAAAAAAAAGAAAAAACACTTGTACAACTTGCTTGTAAATTATATCATCAAACAAAGTACTTCAACTGAATGAACAGTAAATATAATACCTCTATGGCATCGATTTCATTGTTGACCTCCAGACACTCCTCAGCAAGATTCTTCAGCCTCTGTGCGAAACAATCACCAGTTAATAGAAACCAAAACAAATTCATGACATATGTAACAAAAGTCAGAGAAGAGAAAAATTGCTAATTAAGCATTGTCACATTCAAATTCAATTGTTTATTCAATTATACATCCTCTTAATTAATAAACTATTGTAATTGAAGTTGTTTAAATTATTCTAAAAAAATAAGTGGGCAAAATAGAATAGAATTAATTAATGAAAACTAAGTACTTTAAATGATGGACCTCTAGGGAATCGTTTTTGTTGCAGCACTCCTCAGCAAGATTCTTCAGCCTCTGTTGGAGCATGGAATTTTCATCCTCAAGAGTTTTCACATGTTTACGTAGCTTTTCACATTCTTTCTGCCAATAAACAAAAGATGGAAACGTATAAAATGCAAACTTTAAGAACTCACCATAAAATAAAACGGTGTTGGTCATTGGCAGTGTCATGAAGCATACCCACAATCTTTTTGATTAAAAGAAAGTATTCATTTGAAGAACATGATTTTCTTGAAATTCTTGGAGGACTTACTTGTAGGCAAAAAGCCTCTATTTTCTTCCAAATTTGAAAAGCACGTTGGCACCCCACCATTCGGGTACCAAGTTCTGGAGAGATGGACGCAAGAAGCCACCTATAAACAACCTGATCCTGCTGATCCCATTTTCTGTATTCTGTATTGATCTTTTGAAGATTTTCATCTCTAGCTGATCTAAACATGCGTGGCCTTCCTCCATCTTTCGTTTCTGGGGCTTCTGTGGTGAACTTTTCAACTTTTCTTGCTTGGATTTCTTCCAAGGCTTCCTTCTTCCAGGTTGAGAAATTGGCTTCATCCAGTTTGATCGAAACTGGATTCATTGCAACAGATTGATAAGAAGCAGAAGAAGAAGGTGTGGTAGAGAGAATCGAATGAAGAATAGAAGATGATGATGATCATAAAGAGATATATATATTGAATTAACCACTAAGTTGATCATTACTATATGTTTTTAACTAACTAACAAACGTCATGTCATAATGTAACTAATAGGAATGGACCAAAAAAATTACAAGCTTTCTTTGGAAGCTGAGTCATGATGATTGCATTCTGGCTAATGTAACTAATAGGCTATCAGTAGGATTTTTCTCAAACACGGTGAAGTTGCTCTAAATTGTGATGGGGCAGGGATTGAGGGAGGTATTAAATCTTCTGCGCATGGAGTTTTGCGTGATCATTCAGGTGCTTTACACTCTAGCATATCCCAAGGGGTTGGAGAGCCTTCCCTTTACGGCTCTCACAAAGGCAAAGAACCATTTCGCCCCTAATAAGTTGTGTTCTGGACCAAGAGTTCATACGTACCCATGTCTTCATATTAGTAAAATATGTTAATAAATTTTATGATCACATGTAATTTCATAGTGTTTATCATTCAAAAAAAATTACACTTTACAGATTTTAGATAACACAATATTTCTCACTAATATCATATTTTGATTTCTAGAGAAATTTAGAAGTCATACTTGGATCTATAATATAATTCATAATTTCTAATAAGTTGTTCCTCCTTCTATTACTTCCTTTACTTGATCTTTGTGATAATGTTGAAACCTCTTTTATTTGATTTTTGGCAATTCTCAATAAAAAAACATTTTTTTAAAGATGTGTAAAAAGAACTATTGAGAGAGGGAAATAAGTTATGCTAGTTAATTAATAAAAACTAACTTAACTTTGGTAACTTCTTTTTTTAAAATTAGTTTTTAATGCTAAAATTACCCTTAATATAGTGAGAAGAAAGGGAATTAATTTTAATAACTTTAAATTAATCTCTAACAATTATTAATAAAATTTACGTCTAACAATTATCACATTAAACATCTTTTTATTAAAAGTCATTCCTTAAATACACAAGTCAATATTAGATTAAATAATCTAACAAGATATTGTTCATTTTAGATTTAAGTCCTCACAGTTTGATTTTTGGTCATCACTCAAACGACCACTTACCAATGAGATTATGTGTGTATTTATAAACTCATATCTATCCTGTTGTTCTAATAATGTGGAATTTTAATTATATCTCAGTAATTTTTCCCTCAAATAAAAGATCTTGGTTTAACCCTCAATGTAGCAGAAGCTAATCTATGAATATATCCAATGGTGGTAGAAGCTACTTCATGATTATATCCAATGATGGCTCATGAAGCTTATTCATACTATAATACTTGCATCATCGCTCCATCATTAACTCACGATAATGGAACAAACCTTTTAACCTCCCATGTTATTAAGAAGACACTCGATACAAGGATTTTATGCTTGGATCTACTTGCCAACCCCATCATATTTGTTAAAGTCAGTCCTGATCAAACCTTTGACTTTGATACTAGTTGTTGTGCACTCAAAGGTTCTCACTCACACATGTCTCCACATTGGTAAGATATATTCCACTTTAGCCTTAAGACATCATGGTTTTAGTTATGGTCATCACCCAAAAAGCCTCTTATATATCAACAAAGACAATTGTGTATTTATAAATTTATGTCTATCCTTTGGCTCTAAAGATGTGAGACTTTGATTGTATCCCAATAGCCCCTCCTTAAACAAAGAACCATGGTTTTGTTAGAAAAGATAGTTGATCCAAGAGAGGGTGAATTGGATTTTAAAAATTCTTTTTAAATTTTTTGGATAAAAAAATTTCTAAATACTTTCTAACTAAACTAATTGATTTTAGGTGAATTGGAATGTTGAAAACACTTTTCAATGCAAGTTAGATTTTAGCTACCCTACATTCAATTTTCAAGATACAAGAAACATAATAAAAAGCATGTAATTAGATTAACAAGAAAATAAATTTAAGATAAAGGGTAAGAGAAGTTTACACAACAATTAATCTATATTGGTTTAGTCACTTTCACTAGTGACCTACATCAAGTCTCCAATCATCTCGATTGAGTTTTTCACTATTCTTTAAGCTTATCAGTTTTACAATCACACACTTTAGCAAATTAAAAAGACCACTTCTTGAACCCCAAGAAGCACTCTTGTAGCACCTCCCCACAAGATATTTATCTTTCTTGAGAAACCTACTCAAGTAATAAAAAAACAAATTAAGGAAAGATATCATTTAAAGTACAAAACAAAATGAACATGTATATCAAGACTAAACCACTTATTAACCTCAATCCTTCAAGTAGATGATGATGACAATTCACTCTCTTGATTCATGATAGAGGTTCCCATAAAGGGTTTCAAACCTCTCTTCAATAAAACACTTTTCTCAAAGCTCACTCAATGATTAATTTTTATAAAGTTTCATTTCTGCTTTCAATTTTAAGGATCAAAAATGTTATATAGAGTTTTTGACTGAAATAATCAATTATTGTTATGAATAGTCGATTATTTTATTCTTCGCAAATATGAAAATCTACCAAGAACAATTTAATTGATTATTTCTTAAGATAATCGATTATTCTAAAGTTTCACTTATGAAATAATCATTTATTTGGCTAGATAATCAATTATTAGAACAAAGTTTTCCATGTTACTGAAAAATAGAGTAAATAATTGATTATTGTAAGAGATAATCGATTATTTTGAATAAAAACTCAATACTTCAGTTTTTCATACTAGATCCTCTTGAAACCAATTTTAAACCTCGCATATATCATCAATCATCACTCTAAATGAAGAATCATAAACTAAGAATAATTTAGCACCTACCTAATGCACAAAGTAAAATATACAACAAATTACAACTTGCACTTTTATCTCTCAAGAGGCTATATGAATATATTTGTAATCATCAAAACATTTACAATATTCTTTTTCTACTTGTGCTTGATCAACATGTTTAACCCCCTATAATGAAAGTCATCTTTTTAGTTCATAAGTAATCCAATGTGTGGCCCATACTGCTTATTCATGCTCTAAGTACTTGCACTACCTCTTTATCATTAACTCATGATAACAAGACATGTTTCCTAACCCTCCATGTTGCTATAAAAATTCTCTTCCATACATGGACCCACCATTGGGAAGAATTTTGATACAAGGATCATATGTTTGGATCCATCGCCGATTCCATCATACTCATTTAAGCCAGTCGCCTGCTCTAACCATCAACTATGATACCACCTATTGTGCATTGGGGGTTACCACATATACATGTCTTTACATTGGTATGATATTGTCCACTTTGGACCAAAACCGCCATGATTTTACTTTTGATCATCACTCAAAAGGCTTCTTACAAATGAAGACTATGTGTTTGTTTATAAATCCATGTTCATCCTCTTATTCTAACAATGTGAGACTTTAATTATATCCCAACAATCATCCTTTCAAATAAAGGACCATGGTTGAACCCTCCTATAGTAGAAGCTAGTTCACAAGTATACCCAATATGTCCCATAGAGCTTAGTCATGCTCTAGGTACTTGCACCACTACTCCACTATGCTCACGATAACAAGACACACTTCCTAACCCTCCATGTTACCAAGAAGACTCTCCACACATGGACCCATCATTAGGAAGACTTTCAATACTAGAAATCCTATGCCTGAATCCACATGCAAATTTCGTCATTACTTGTTTGCATTGGTCACCTGATTGGACCATTGACTTTGATACCAATTATTGTGCATTGAGGGTTACTGCACACACATCTCCATATTGGTACACTATTGTTCATTTTGGGTCAAAGTCCTCATGATTTTGCTTTTGGCCAAGGGCAAAAGGAGGGGGGACTTGGAGATGCCATGGTTCCTCCCCCTATTTTTAAAAATGTATCAAAATTACTTTAGAAATATTTTTTGACGACCCCCTAAAATTAAAAAAAAAAAAAATATATATATATATATATATATA